CTTTATACACACACACACACACACACATATAATATATATATATATATATATAATTATAACATTCATATGTGTGTGTAAAAATAATTTTAAGTACATAAAAATAATTGTATAATTTTAAATGTGAAAGTGTATTTAACTATATTTTATATATACATATAATCTATAATTTTAAATATCTTATTAAATTAATTTTGTACAATTGAAATGTAAAATAGTATAGTTATATAAAAACAATTATAATTTTAATATTTACCTTTTAATGTGTATATATAATTATAAATACAAATAATTGTATAAATTTAAATGTAAAGTAATTCATTATATTTAACTATTTAGAATAGAATAATGAAATAGAATAAAATTTATTTTATATATACATATAATCTTATCTATCTATGTGTGTGTGTGTGTGTAAAAATTATTATTTTAAGTATATAAATAAAAATAATTGTATACATTTTAAATGTGAAAATTAAAAATTATAATTTGTAAATATATATATTTAAATTAAATACATTATATACAAATTATAATGAAATTATAATTTAAATAAAATTGTATTTAGTACATATAATTAAAATAATTTTACATATGTAAAAATATATACAATTATTTTAATTAATATAAGTTCTATAAGTGTAAGTTTTGAATGTATATATACATATTTATATTATGTATGTATGTGATTAAAATAATTTCAAACAAAAAAAAAATGTTTGAATACAAAATATGTTCATTGTATTTAAATATATTTCTATATTTTATACATGAGATATATTGGTAATTTATATATATATATATATATAATAATTTAAGTTGTGTAATTAGCATGCTAATGGTGAATGGTAATGGTTAAACTCTCTTAGAGGAAGGCATATTTAAATTTGTCCACTTCAAAGCAGAAGATGCTATGTGAAATTGTGTTTCGCTATATCTCCCGTATTCCTTGTGATAGCTTCATTGACTCATTGATTTTGAACCGAACTGCTCTGTATATACCTATGTTTCAGCAGAAAAACTAGTTTGTGTTTACCTGATTTTATATAAGCATGCAAATGCAGAGGCCAAGAAGTTTGCAGTAGTCTGTCATTGGAACAGATGTGTTGTTAATCAGTAGCTTTTGTAAACATTTCTGCAGTTTAATAATCTAGTGAACCGCTGTGCTGTCTGTCCCTAAATAGGCAGCATCCTAAAAGAAATGACAGTAGCTGACCTGGAAAGCTCTACATAGGTGAAAACTTCACACGTCACACCCACACTTGAGTTTGAAGCTAAACTAATGATGTGAACCATAATATATTATTATTATATATTTAGATTATGTTTGATTTAACCAGTCATATCATATTAATGATTATTTTTCAGCACTGAATGAAGTAGAACTGGAGTTTCCCTGGACTCTGTCAACCATCTTCTGAAATATTTTTTATACAGTGCTTGTTGCAGTGCATTCTGGGTTTGGCTTTTCTGTGATGGACACATGTGATGCTGCCAAAAGAAGGTTTCTTAGAAGGCAGCATACCTTTTGAAGGCAGTCTACATTTGGTTGATAGGTTTATATATATATATATTTTAAAATGTGTACAGTATGTATTTGTTTGTGTATGTGTTTATACACACACACACATATAGTTTTTTTTGTAAAGTGTGTGTGTGTGTGTGTGTGTAAATATATATATATAATTCGGGGGATCCCTTCAGCTCAAGGAACCCTCTCGAACGCGAATCGAGTGTACGTCTCGAGGCCCTCTTTCGAATGAGACCACCCCCGCGTCGATAGCCCCCGGGGTTCGGGAGTTATGGGTGGTTAAATTCGCGGTCCAGCGCCGACCAATCTAGCGATCCCGGGGGGCTACCGACGCGCAGAGTGTGGCGTTCGAGAGGGCTCCTTGAGCTGAAGGGATCCCCCGAATTTGGTGGCGATCTGCCGGCCCGTTTGCGAGATAGTGACACCTCTGTCACGTCATTGTAAGTGTTTCATCACCACATTTGAGTGATCATTGCAAAAAATGTGTTTATGTATATATATATTCTGTTTATATATATATACTGTATTCTATATATAGTACCAGTCAAATGTTTGGACACACGAATGGTAAAGTGTCCAAACTTTTGACAGGTACTGTACTATAATACACAAAGAATATCGGCCGATATATCAATATCGGCCTTTTTTACTCCCTAATATCGGTATCGGCCCGAAAAACCCATATCGGTCGGGCTCTAGTAAATATAGTACATACATACTTTATCATAATTTATCCCTTAATTTATCAACACTTTTTAAAAAGTGTTGTTTAGGTGTTGCTGACATGTTTCGAACAGCTTTAGTAGCGTATAAATATGCCTGTAAACATCAAATGATAAAAAGTGTGCAGTGACGAGTCGTTGTGATGCTCTCCTCATGTGATGAGCAGCAGATATTGTCTGTGTATGAGTCTGTGGTGGTTTGAGAGTGTGTGGAAGATGTTTGTTGTCAGGCGTGGGTGTAGTGGAGGCGCTTGCCATCTCTCGCTTCATCTGTTTGTTTATTCATTTGGTTGCCATTGCGTTAAATAATTCATCTCTCTGCCCCTCTCCTCCTCTCTGCTCAGTTTAATGATTGGCCAGCGCTCTGTGTGTGTTTTGCTGGTTTCTCCATCATATATGTGCATGTTGAATGCGTTTCACTGCGCACACACACACACAGAGCTGACCCGCGGGCGATGGGCAGCACGGGCCATCTATCACACATGCTGGAGCGTCTCTGCAGGCCTGATGAATGTAGGACAGCCGTTTGTCGTCCTGAACGCTTCTGTGACAATCACACACACGCTTCGTCTCTCGCCGTCTCACTGAAAATAATAAAAACATCACCAGTGCTGCTGCTCAGAGCGATCCTCATCATCCTTATAGGTTAAAAGACAGACAGTATTTTAGGAAATTTCAGTAGCACTTCTATATGAAGCCTGTGCAGGATGGCTTGTCGGACATTTTAGTGCTTCATATTTTTTCGTAATGATACAAACAAATGAAAATCTTTTCCTGTTGATGGTTCCACCTTCAAAATGAAATACATTTGAATGCATGATCATGTATTAGAATCAGTATTATTTTAGTATTGTTTGTAGTGCACCATCTAAAAAAAACTACTGCTCATTTTCTGCCAGGACTTCTGCCCTATTTTTATGGATTTTTTTTTTATATTTTCAGATTTTTAATTTTTAAGCTGTTGTCATTTTAGCTTTTATTTTTATTTTAGCCTTAGTAATTTTAGGACTTTAAGGTAAATTGTTTTATTTCTAACTGTATTTTTCCCTCTAATATGTTTTTTATTTTATTTTGATGAGTTTCAGCAGTTTTAGAATTAGTTATCAATAATAACATGCCTTACAATAAATAGGCAAATAATTTAAGCTTTTGTCATTTTATTAGTTAGTTTTTTTATATATATTTTTATTTAGTTGTATTTTCATTTTAGTTTTAGTTTTATTTTAGCTTTAGTAATTTTAGTACTTTAACTTTTAAATCAATTATCTGTTTAACTTTAATTTTTGTTCAAGGTTTTTTTTTTACTTTTAAGTTTTTCCTCTAATATGAATGTTTTACTTTAATTTGGCTTCATTTTTATTAATGAAAATGAATTTTAATAGATTTGGATTTAGTTAGCAACAATAACGTAGATTATAATAAATATGTATAAGTAAGAATAGGCAAGTAATTCATTAGGTGTGTTTTTTTATTTCTATAGTTTATTTTTTAATATTTATATGTAGCTGTGTTTTTTCAGTTTTAGTAATGCTGTTTTTTAAAAAATATTTTTATTGAGCTTCTTTTTTTTATTTTAGTTTTAGTAATATTTACTTAGAGTTAAATTTGTTTATATTTGATTTTAGTTTTTTCTCTACAGTATGTAGGTCTGATTTTTATTTCAGCTTTATTTAAATTCATGAAAATATTTTTTCATTTTAGTTAACAATAATAACAGATTACTGTGAATGTTAGCTGTGATGAATTATAATTATATAAATATATACAATCTTCAAATGAAGTGTTACTTAAAAAAAATCCAGAAATTCAGGAGGAAGATTTGCAGTATGTTCTGTATTTTGAAAACCACCAAATGTTATTAAAATGTGTTTTATTATTCATTCTGGCTGCCGTATGTACCAGAAGTGTGTGTAATATATTATCACACTAGTGCTTTCTGATCCATGACAGCATTTTCGCTGGTAATTTATCATTTATATGCAGAAAAAGTGTTAAAATATGCTCAAAACAGCACGGTGGTGGTGAAAAAGGCAGAAAAGTGCGATCATAAACTCTCATTCGGAGGAAAAGTCTTGGAAAGAGCTCTAAGCGTGTAATGAAAGGTGTTTTAGTTCATCTTTGGCTCATTATCCCGTCTGAGGCTGTTTTGCAGTGAATCATGGCGTGTTTGGTGTGGCCGCGGGGCCGGAGACGTGCTTGTTTCTGCGGCTGGGCCGTCTCTCTTTATCCTGCTGCTTGTCCCGTGACATTATGGTACAGATTGTGGTTTATGAGGCGTTTCTGGAGAGGAATGTGAGCTGATTGGAGGCGCCCGAGGACTCGTGAAGAGATCACTGGTCACTGACAGGTCTGTCGGGATGAGAGCGATGCTTTACGCTCATGCTGTCATCTGCAACAAGACATGTTTACAATGCGAGAAGACATGAACCCCCGAGAAATGATTCAAGCGCCATTCACTGGCATTTAAAGCTGCAGGAGAAACTTATTTAGCAAGATGCTTGTGTAAAACTAACTTACGGCTGTTTTTAGTCCAAAATAAAATGTTATGAATCAATTTGCGAGAGGAAAAATGCTCTGAAATTGTAGAATATATCTACAGTGGCATATTGAGGAATTCTGTTTTTATGTTTAGGTGTTTGATTAGTATTTGATTTGATAAGACGATAAATTCAACTCAGTTTCTGTGGTTAGATTAGGTTCATGACAGGATCAACAGAGCAAAAAAAAAAAGGTAGATTTTTATAATTTTTATGTAAATGAGATATTGAATGAGAAAAATAGATAAAATATTCTGCAAAAATATTCATCCTGACTCATAATTTATATTAATAATAATTTTTTTACAGAATATATTGGATATATTTTAAATTATATTGCTTATATTCTATATTTTATTTTTGTTTGTTTGTTTATTTATTCATTTATTTTGCCATTCAAAAGTTTGTGGCCAATAAGGATTTTTTTTTAAAACAAATTAATACTTTTATTCAGCAAGGATGCATTAAATTCATGAATAGTGACAGTAAAGACATTTATAATGTTACGAAAGATTTCTATTTCAAATAAATGCTGTTCTTTTGAACTTTATATTCAGCAAAGAATCCTGAAAATTAAAATATATCACAGTTTCCACAAAAATATGAAGCAGCACAACTATTTTCAACATTGATAATCAGAAATGTTTCTCGAGCAGCAAATCAGCATATTATAATGATTTCTAAACTGAAGACTAGTGGTCAACCGATATGGGTTTTTTGACAGCCGATGCCGATATCTTGGAAAGCATGGTGGCCGATGGCCGATATAATTTTATTTATTTTAATTAATATTTAAGAAATTTGAAATAATTTGAAAATGGATTAAAAATAATTGTATGAAATAAACATACTTATACTTTAGAAGACAAAGCATTTTTCACAAATAAATAAATATTTAATAAAAATCTAATTAAAAAGGAAGTAAACACTGTAACCAATAGGGTACTCCGTATTCTGGGAAGTTTGTGTGAATCATTTATTTATTTATTTTTTTCAAATAAAGCCAAGGTAACACTCATTTTACATACAGCACGCAATGAAAATGACATGAATATGACAGTGGGCAAATGCATAAAGCGCAGCATAATTTGATCGGCCAAACAGAAAAACTTATCGGCCGATATTTGAAAAATGCCAAATATCGGCCTTGGCGATATATCGGTCGACCACTACTGAAGACTGGAGCAATGATGCTGAAAATTCAGCTTTGATCACTGGAATAAATTACATTTTATATATATTATAATATAAATCAGCTACTTTGAATTGTAAAAAAATATTTCACAATTTTACTGTTTTTACTATATTTTTTATTAAATAAATGCAGCCCCTTGAGCATAAAAAATAAACTTACCAACCACAAACTTCTGAACAGTGGTTCATAAGACTGGAATTTGCTTTTAATATGAATACGAATTTAATTTTGGATGTTGTTTGCTTTGCATTACTCAAGTTCCATCCACTGGGTCTTTTTTAATTGTTATTTCATATCTTTTTGGTATTTTCAGACAGAATAATGTCATTCAATCCAGATTCCGTGAGCTTATAGATTTCCAAACTGTCACTGGCTCATGAAAAGTGAGCGGTCTGTCAAAAAGTCAGTTTATTTTGTACGGCTCATTAGTGCAGTCAGTTCTAATGAAGCTCTGGTGTGTTTGTGCAGTGTTTCTGAAAGACTCTCCTGATGTGTGGCTGAATATTGAAAGTGACACGCGTTCCTTCGCTCTTATTCTTCTTAATTCATTCTCCTCTCTCAGCTTTTGTCTTTCTGCAGCACAGCCCGAGTGCTTTTAACGACTCCTGCTCACACTAATGTTCTTTCTGTCACTCTCACGCTGTGAAGATTTGAAATAATTAAGTCTAATTTGCACAGCACTACTGAGGGATGGGTTCAGTTCTTAAGTCTTTCTCAAAAGCTTTATCTGAAAACACTGATGTTCATCTGGACGTTCATGTATTTGAGGTTTTGCAAATATAAAAGCGCATATGCATGGGTTTGTTTTTAAAGGGATAGTGCATTCAAAAATTCTAATTCAGATGCTGTTCTTTTCAATATAATATTTTAGTATTTCATGAATGCTGTGTGTGAGATTGTATATACAGTATGTGTGAAATGGTGATCACTTATTAGATCTATCAGCCAAAATACTCATTAATCACCTGTTGAATAGAAATAAAAATTAGCAACCATAACTACATTTTTACCTTTTTGAAGAAAAAGGGTCTCGTTCACTAACTGCTTGCATGTTTTCAATCAGACATTGTGGCTCATTGATGTGCATAGGAGCACGTTCAAAATTTTAGGAGCACCTTCTAATCAGTAATCCAAAATTTTTATCAAAAATTAGCCTTCCTATTACGAGGTGATCACAAGGCGCAATCACAGATATGATGATGATCTTGTCAGTCGCACTGGTGCTCCTAAAAAAATTTTCATAGTCACACCGCACGCAGTAGTTTTCAGTCGCAAATGCGACTGAAATGGTCGCACTGTAGAGCCCTGTTTATGTTCCCAACATGCCGCCCACCTCACAGTTTTACTCAAATTAGTTACAGTCCAGATATTTAAAAATGCTTTGTGAATCAGTTCAAATGAATCACTGAAAAGATCCCAATGATTCAGGATGTGTAAATGATGACTGTTTTGATCATTTTTGGTTTATTAATCTTTAAAACGAGGTGTCCTTTCTTTCTTTCTTTCTTTCAGGTTTTTTCATGCTTTCTGTCTTTCTTTCGTTCTCTCTCTCTGGCGTGGTTATCGGTGCGGCAGCTGCTTCTGTCTGGTTTGCTTGTGTTCATGGGAAGGTTGCTCATGTCCGCCCGCACCGCGTCGTTTGTCAATGTCACGCTGAATGGGGCGAGAGCAGGAACGGAAACTCGCCCTGCTTTGTTCAGCTCCCTGACTGCATGTTTTCCAAAAAGCCTGTGCTGATCCTCAGGTGGTGGAGTAGAAAGACGGTGGTTAGCTAATCCTCCAGAGACGCTCCTGCCTCCTGATCCCAGACCAGCTGCAGCGCTGCTTATGGAAACTCAGCTATCCAGGATGCTTGAGGTGTCTTTGAGCCAAATCACGAATGTTTCCACACTTTTGATTTGAGCTCATGGGAATTATTTACCCTGTGGATGAAAAATGTCCATTTAGGATTTCATGAATGGTGTGTGTGTGTGAGTGTGTGTGAGTGTGTTAGAGAGAGAGTGAATGTGTGTGTGTGAGAGAGAGAGAGAGTGAGTGTGTTTGTGTGTGTGTGTGTGTGTGTGAGAGAGAGTGAGTGTGTGTGTAAGAATGAGTGAGTGTGTGTATGTGTTTTTGTGTGTGTGAGAGAGAGTGTGTGTGTGTGTGTGAGAGAGAGAGAGAGAGTCTGTCAGCCAAAAAGGCTGATTTATCACCAGTTTAGCAATTGCAAGCATGACTAGATTTTTACTAGGGCTGCATTTTAGCACAAATTTCACGATTCGAATTGATTCTGATTCTCAAGCTTGCGATTTGATTCGATTTCTGATTCGATTCAATATCGATTATTTTGGATATATATTAGGTACAGCACATGCCGATTTTTCTCAAAGAAAAAAAACTCAACTAATGCTGTAAAATATAAATGAGAGTCAGTTGGTACCACATTACTATAATATTGAAGGTTAAAATTAACGGATTTGTACACAAATGCTTAAATTACACTCAATGAAGTTTTTATAATAATAAAGTTACAATTACATAACTATTTCTACTCCAATTCATTTTTTAAAAAATATAAACATTTAAATGGTGGCTGTCATAAAAAACGTGACAGATTTATTTTAATATAACTTAAACACTGAAGAACAGTAAAAATGATTATTAATATGTGGTGCATGTATTTAACAAAATGCTCCTCTCTAGAGTGCACTACAATGTTCCGTTCCGTTTCTAGGGTGTGCTGTGTGGTTGCCATGCTGTTGCTAGGGTGGTTTTGGTGGTTTTGGGCCCTTCTTCAATAAAAGTCACATAACTTGTGGAATCAATCATGTTTGGAGCTCAAATGCTGCAAGATGATGCACACACTGAGTTTAAATACTTAAACTTCTAAATCTTAGTATGAGCGATAGTAATAGTGCTAATGGACTTGAGTAATGCAACGCTCATGAACGAACATGCAACATCTAAAGCGTTGCATTGCATTGTGAGGAATCCAGTTTGAGTTTGTCAGTTTTATGTATGTGTTGGCTGTTCCCAGCAGGTCTGTCTTCATTCGCTGATAAAGAGATTAGACTTGAAGCGCAGATCTCTGTGAACACAGCCCGTCCTCTGATCACTATCGCTCTCATATCTCTTGGTCTGTGGTTGGCTGGATGCTCTCGAGTGACTTTGCTGTGGTGGGCAGAGAGACGAGAGACGTCTTCGTTCATCTGTCACACATTAGCTTTGCTTTGTGATTCAGCATCGGAGAGTTTATTGTGATTCAGTTTGATTTGCTCTCATAGAGCAGAGATTTGACTGTCATAAAGTCCAATAAAGATCATTCTTGCCAAGAATTGACCTATTTTTTGTTGGATGTTCGTGAGCACTTAAATCTAATGTGAAATTCTGAAAATGGAATATACTGTATAGTTGAGTGTGTCGATACAATATTATGAGAAAAAGAATTGTGAAATATAAATGATTGCATTTACTACATTGCAGATATGTAGCAAAAACAAACTGATAAACAGTCTATCTATCTATCTATCTATCTATCTATCTATTAGGCCTATATAAAAAAATAATAGGCTAATAGGCCTAAATACAAAGATGCTACAGTTTGTGTTTTGCTGTTTCAAAAAGAAAAAAGAAAAATTAAATTGAAAATATGTTTTAGTAGTTTTGCACTATAAAGTAATTTCCCTGACACTCTGCGAGTTTGAGCTGATTTCAGTATCAGTATCTGACCTTTTATTGTTGCACTTTATTATATTATGTAAGGTCATGTCAACCATGAGTCTTACGAAACAGCAAACGCAAAAAAACTTCAGCGCTTGTCTTTTCTTCAGCAGGTGATGAAGTTGTTTAATTCACGCTGCTTCATTTCTCATACCGCTGCCCTCCATCAACACACAGATGTTCCTCAGATGGAAATGATTCTGGGGTTCTTTTGGGTTGATGGTGAATAACTGTCGTATGTGCTTTTCTCAGGTTTGCTGTTGTCATGGATACATCAAATCAAATCCACACAGAGAGCGAGTGCAAAAAAAAAAGGCATGAGGAATTGTGAAGTTTATTGAATACTGTCCTTGTTTCACTAAAGATTTCTCTTTCTTGGGTCATGAGTGTCTGCAGTCCTCATAAAGCACACAATAGTTCTGCAGTGAAAGCTGACGTTTTAACAGCCCGCCTTTAAACCATCTGAGGTTAACGATTACAGGGACAGTACAGACGTGTGCTTTTATACCGTCAGAAACGTCCAGACTAAACCCTGGCAGCACAAAACCTCTCTCTGAAGACCATTAATGCCCTTTATTTAAGAATCAGAAAATTGTAGGCAAGACACTATAGGCAATAACATTGTTTTTCATGAACTAGTCAATTTTGAGACTAAAAAGAAAACATCCAAAATATACTTTAATTGTATTTTATCTGTTTGCATCTGTAGATTTCAATTTCAATACATTTTAAAAGTGTCCTTCTCCCCTTCAGAAGTCAACCCTCTACATTGCGAGTAAATCACTTGCATATGCGACTAATTAGTGGGCGGAACTAATGCGCAAACAGCAGTCTCATTGGCTGGCGCTCATCTATTATCGTTCCTATTTTGATTTCAGCAAATCAGTTCGCGTGAACGCACACAACCTGATTAATATTCATGAATCCAGTAGCTCATTAATCCTTAGTGCGTTTTAAATTGTTCTTATTAGTAGAATTCGTATCATTATTATCTTATCAGTATTTTTGTTTGTTTTTTCCCATTTTTTTTTTTTACAGAAACACTGAATAACCAAAAAAGCACCACCACCAGTCCGAAGTTCAGTTAAAATGACTAATATGCATTCATACATGGTTATCAAGTT